AAACTTGTTGCTTTTTATAAACACACTTCAGGCCTGTGATCTGTACTCTAGTAACAACTCTGGTGCTGACTACCTTGCAAAATAGTGCGGTTCAACTATTAGGATTTAATATTATGCTCACAGGCAAAATGCTGATATGCGTAAAAATTCTGGAAGGATAATAGTTTTTCCTTGCCATAAGGAAAATTACCAAGTTTCATTAGGAATAAAATAACATGCCACCACTTAAAAATATGATTATTTTCTTGGTCAAAATGCTTTGGATTTTTAAAAAATTCTTAACCTAGTCTTAGAAAGATCACTTTGCATATAGCTGAGAAAAGTAGGGCAGTCATAAATGAATTTGCCGAGAACTCTATAATCTGAGTCCCTGATGAAAACTCATTAAAATAAAACTGAAAGACTCTATTATCTCATCTCACTTTATAAATAAACACAAGCTGGAAAATATGCCCTTTTAAAGGAAGGATTTATGGATGCCATGTATATTTGACGGTAGCCTTCTTCCCATAATGTGATCCCAATTCCATAAAGATCAGAATGCATGTACATAATTTCACTTATGAGAAGTCCAAGCACAATAATGTTAATAGGTAGGATGAAGAGAAGGAAAGAATGTAAGAAATGTAAGGAGAAGAGGAGGTGAAGAGGGAAAGAGGAAGAATTCTCACCAAACCATGGAGGTTTAATCAGATAATTTTTTAAAGGCTTGAAACAAGATGCATTAAGCCATGCAAACAAAGGTCTCTTGAGAAAAGCTTCGTTCTAGTTACCTGTCGTGAATATAATGACCTGAAATGTCCACCATGGTCCCATACTAATGACTCAGGACTCAACTTGTTCTCAACTTGTTCTGTCCAGGATTCAAAACAACAGACAAACCAAAACGCTATGATCATTACTAAAAGTGGATATAATGAATGGGCAGCAAAGGCTCAAACCGAAGTGTGTCTTCACTATCCGACCAAAACCAGAGTTAAGACCAAACATAATCCCTAACAACACCCAAAACATCACCTTCTGTCATAAAAGTGTTTTAAGTCGGGAATCCGTACAGTACTTGCAAGAGACAAAGAGACAAGAAACACTATGTGAAGACATTAAGATAAAGAGTTCACATGTCTCTGGATTCTGTGTTCCATTTTTGATGAGTGTGTCTTGGAAACTTGGGACATTATTATTTAGGTTATGGCCCCTCCAGGGGAGTATTCATAGTAGTGTAAAGAGGCTTTAACTGGAAGGCACACATCCACGTTGCTCTGTGATCGTCTCCCATGAAAGCGCACAGAGAGCGCGGTCTCAGGAAGGGGACTTGAGGCACATTTTGCAGAGGTATATCTTTTTCAGCCTACTGATTTCCTACAGATGGCTAAAGCAGGGTATGGAACATGCTGTCATATTTCATTCATAACACACATGTACTGTAGCTCTAGGCAACAGATGGACAATCACTTGTTTAAACTACAAATGTGAAATACTAAGGTAGAATGGCAATATTTCTAGAAATGTATATGAGAAAAAGAAGCCTTTCCAAGCCAAGAGGAATGGTGAGAGGCTGTGAGGTTACATCAGTGTTTCCCTGATCTCCCTAGCAGCTGCCATAATTTCCCCGACACCCTTCAAAACTTGATAATGGAGGGATCAGGGGGCAGCCGACACAGATTTGACAAGAGAAGCCCAAACCATATCAAATAGAAATAACACTGTTATTCCTGGCTGGTTCACATTAATAGGATTTTTACTAACTAGGAAAACTGCTCTAAGTTGTGTTTTCAGAGCCCTGTCCTTTAGTCTTAACCTTCTAGGATAGCCCCATTGTAAAAGTGCTCTCTTTCTTCCTCTGAACCCAAATAAAAATAGTTGGTTAAACATAGAGGTTTATATACTTTAAACATCACCATAAACATCTATGCTGACTAATGCAGTGGGCTTATCAACACTGTCCTTGTTTCCGCGCCGCAAAAGAGTCTGCAGAAGATCAGAGAAGGTGCCCCTACAAAAGCCATTTGTCAATGACAGGAAAAAGAACTTGCATCTTTGAGCTGCAGAGATGTCCAGCACCTCAAAGCCTTGATGCCTCATGCTGGGACACATGGCTTCGTTCTGAGTTTTAAACGCAATTTGGCTTGCAAATGAGACTCTGCATAGAGTCGGTATGAGCTAGGGACCCAGGCAGTGAAGATACTTGATTTTGAAATGGTGTGCAGAGCCCGTGACATTGTGGTTTTCTTTTTTCTTTTCCATGTCTCATTACATGGAATTACCAAATATTTGTGTTCTTGATCATTGTTTAAAGCCAGTATATTTTAACAATCTTTCTTAGAAACTCAGATTTTTTCTATTATTTACGTATTTAAATAACAATCAAGATGATATACATAAAAAGACAAAAGAATTATAATTGTTAAGGTAGTATGATCTTTCTATCTCTGTTATAGGCAAAATTTTACGTAACTAGAACAGTAAAGAGTGATTTGGCATGGTTTAAACCAAATGATTAATAGAAGAGACAAGAAAGCAATATAAATCATATGCTTAAGAAGTCCTGGAATAAAATATGTAGAATCGTTTCCTTAACATACCTTGTGAAAGAAAAGAAATCTAAATCTAAATATTTCTGCATACGTACGTGTGCACATTCATTATTATAAAAGTATAATAGGTCTATATTAAAAAGAGATATACTTTAAAACTCTTTGGTAAAGATACTTTGAGGTTATGTGATAAAAATGTACTATAAAGATCGAAAGTAAGCAGTGTTATGGCAATGCCACAGTGAGGGGTCTGTGACAGCATTTCCTATAACTCTCTCTCTCTTTTTAAAATGTTTTGGTGTGTAAACATTTAGTTACATAAGGACTTAAATGTAACAAACAAATAGAATGTTATTGCATCTTTTTTTTTATAGCATAAATATTTCATAAATTTTCCTCTTTTGGCAACATTTATAATAATATGACTGTACTTCAAGAGATAAAATCCACCTCTCAATAAATTGGGCTTTTGGCCTAAACACAAATTTCCCCCAAGTATTTCATAGACAACAAATTGCTGGGGCAATTCAAGCAGATTATATACTCTCTCCAACTGCCCAATAGTCAGTGCTCTTTGAGGTCATCAGCATGGTCTGATCTTGAACTTGGAAGACAGAAATTCAGAGATACAGTCACTATTATATCCTAAAATTCACATGCTGCCCAAAATGAATCCATTGTATTTCACATTAAGAAACATATATAAGACCAATGACAAGAGTAGCAAAATCAAGAAAGAACAAAGTTTTCTGAGAAAACTTTGGAAAGCCATCATTTTGGCTGTTCTAAAAAAAAAACTATTTGGTGACCAAAGCAAATAAGCCGCAAAGTAACTCAGATGAAGCTAATGACCAAAGGCTTAAGAATTTCTTATTGATAAAAAGATGAGCTAATGACCGAAGGCTTAAGAATTTCTTATGAAAAAAAGGAAAATCGAACTACTTTTACAATTATTTCTACTAAAGTAAAATAAAGGTAATTGGAATTCCTGAGGCATAGGTTATAATTTAAAACATGCACAAATAATTTTTCATTTATGTTCTGAGTGTTAAAATTAAAATAAAAGTCAGACTAGAAAATTGACTTTATCACTTTATAATCAGGAGGAAGCTATTTGTGGAATCAGGGATGGGTGCACAAGGGAATGTAACTATATCTGTTATATTTGATTTCTTAAACTGGTTTTATGTATACAGGGATTCATTATATTATTATTTATTCTTTTGTGTCTATTTAAAATACTTCATAATTTAAAAGTATATACTTGTGGAAGACTGAAGAAACATTTAAGAAATCTCAATCCAAAATACTTGATTAGTTGACAGATGGCAAGCTGCCCTTACTAAGATGGGCGTCTCTCTTTAAAAGAAATAAGTTAGAACCCAATAGAATGGTTCTGCAGTTGGCAAGCAAGCATTTCAATGCCCAGTAAGAGTTTGAATAAAGATTCCAGGCAGAGACGTTGCATATTTTTAGCTCAGAAAGGCAATTTTTTTTCAGTGATTGTCTTTGAAAGTGTGGTGTAAATGTCACATTGATGATATAAAATAAGGACCTGGGCCTCGGGGGGGGGGGGTGGGGGGGTAAGGAAGAATATGAATAGTTCCTTACAAGCTATCTTCCTCCCGGGAAAAACTCAACTTTGGGAGTTGTGTTTGGATATTAACAAAAACAAAACAAAACAAAACAACAAGGCAATATTTCTCAGATGAAAAGTGGGATGGTTTTGGAAGTGTTATGTTCTAGAGAAAACAAAGTTTGTCTATAGTTTTATGTCTAGGTAGCATGCAAAAGGAAAATCTTAAGATAGTATTGTGAAAAAATAATAGGTTTTTCAAACATACCCCCAAAATGTTCTTTTCCCCAGCATATCCCACCTGTAATTCTTTCAGAAAAAAATTGAACTTTGGATCTCTCCAGCCAATATCTGTTTTCAAATGAGCCCTGAACACTGGTCACATAGATTCTGAATTTCCAATCAAATCTAGTTACAAATTAAATACGTGCTTGTTTTAAACTATATCATTTACAGCTTAAATTCTTTATCGCCTAACATATTCATTGCACACCTCCCCCCGCCCCCCCCAAGGGACATGACTAGTTTAAAGCAACAGAAAGATGTACTTTTCAAATACGCAGAGAAAGAATGGCTGTCCTTTATGATCACAGGCAACGTGGAAGTCATAGTATGGAACCTTCAAGCCTAAAAGCACCTGTGAGTTGGCAGATTCACCCAGGAAAAACTGTGTGACAGCAAATACCACACTAAAAAAAGCCATTCAACCAGATGAAAAGTGAGACAAACATAGGGATTAAAAGTTACAGGAATGCAGAAGTGAATGGGATGGAGTATAATCTGTGCAAAAATGTGGAAGTCCTTGGGAACAAAGGCCCATCAAGGTCCTGCATGATTAAATGTGAAATGTGTATTTGGTGAAAACTTAAAAAAAAAAATCTCATAATCTATGTGTTTCTAAAGAAAGGTTAATATTATATGAAGAACAGACACCATCCCATGGCTTGATTGCCTTTCCTCTATTTTCCCGTTTCTTTTCTTATCTTTTTTCTTGTGTTTCATTCTTCTCAGCGCCACCAACTAACCAGCTAGGCAGGCGACTGAATTTAAAGGTCGGTGCTGGCCTTGGCCGTCAGCACCCTAATGCGGGCGGAGTTGCAGGTTTTGCAGAGGATGTGTCCATCCAGAGGGTAGCAGCCTTGGTTATCTCCTTCAGACAGGAGACCGCCACAATCCTGGAAAGATAGACGGAAAGGATGTCAGTGAAAATGGCAGCTGTGTGCGTGAAGGCTAAATTCCTTAGCTTTCCATTCAAGGCCTCCCTCCATAATGTGGCCGTTTCCTGCCTTTCCTCTTCCTACACCACAGCCCCCCCCTCCAATCCTTCCCTGGGATACAACATAATGTCTTGAATGCAACTGAACAAGAGATCGGGGACATAAAGACAAACAATAAAATGACCCCCTCGCCTCAGCTTACTTAATAAGAAATGTGAGTCCAAAAAGAGAATAACCCCATGGTCTGGGTGCCCAAGTAGTCATTTTGCTCTCCTCCCCCAAGCAACAAAACAGCAACAGCAAGAACAAGAGAAAATAAAACAAGGGTAGATCCCCACCCACCGAGTCATTTTACCCTTTATCATTAGTCTAAGGCTCTCTCAAAAGGTATATACAGGTGCAGGGACAGAATTCTCTTGGTAGTTTCTGGGCCGAAGCAAAGGTGTAGGGTGCCTTCTTCCAAGCAGAAGGGCCAGCAACAGGCTCTGCATACTTACTCCAACTGTCGTGGGAAAAGAAAATCCTGAAGTGTGCTGGGAACACTAGTTGGCTGCACTTTCTGAAGGAGATGGCGTGGTGGAGAGGAATGAGTTGGACAAGGGGGACAGGCCCCCGGGAGCCCCCCTTAGCTCTCCCCTGCCTGTGTCACTGAAAAGAATTTCTGCATGTCCTACCTCACCAAGCTATTGGGAAGATCAAAGGGGAAAATGGAATTGACTGTACTTTGAAAAAAACTGCAAAGAGCTACAGAGCTGTAAAGGATCAAAGGACAGTACTACGGTCCACAGCTCCTCTGCAGCTCCACTTTGGAAAGCGTTATATAATAGAGTCAAATGTTGGCCCTTACCTTTGGAGAAAATGGAAGTTTCTCTGAAAGAAAAATACAATACTTCTGGTGGTGTGTGCCTTTGCTAACGTTAATAGAGACTCTTCTAAAAGGCCACAAGCGTTGCATGCTCAGCTTTTGTTGTCCACTATGACAGCAAGGAGGTCACGGGGGCTCATGTCTAACATTGGACTGACAATAAAATTTAAGTATGGAAGGAGGATCGCCCACAACACTATAGCAACAGCCACAATAGCAGCAGGAGCCAGGCTCCCCAGAAGGCTGGCTTTGCCAAAATGAGCAAGCAGATATTCTGCAGTTCTAGAGGCATTTGGGAAACTGAGTAATGGAATTAAACGAACTCTTCATCTCAATAAAGAAAGGACATTTCGTAAGTGATATGGCTGTAATCATTTAATGAGCAGACATCTATGGTCACCTGGGCACCCTGAAGAGCCTGAAATCAACCACAGTGTTGTAACCATCCGTGCTTTGGATCTTAGAACCAAAAGGGCCATACGAGGCATCCAGTTCAACCTCCTCATTTTCATAGATGAGGAAGAAAGGAGCAGCGAGGGAAGTGATTGGTCCAGTTTCATGAAGCATCTGTGACAGGGGTAGAATGGTGGTCCACCCTCTCCTTAGTTACTTTTCCTCTCATTCTATAATACTGTTTAAAAAAACTGGAGGGTATTATGCTAAGTGAAATAAGTCAGTCAGAGAAAGATAGATATCATATGTTTTCACTCATGTGTGGAATTTGAGAAACTTACCAGAAGACCATGGGGGAAGGGAAGGGGAAAAATAGTTTCAAACAGAGAGGGAGGTAAACCCATATGAGACTCTTAAATACAAAGACCAAACTGAGGGTCGATGGAGGGGACAGGAGGGGAGGCAGGGAAATGGGTGACGGGCATTGAGGAGGGCACTGGCTGGGACGGGCACTGGGTGTTGTATGTAAGCGATGAAATCACGGGAATCTACTCCTGAAACCAAGAGCACACTGTATACACCATATGTTAGCTAACTTGACAGTACATTATAGTAAAAAAATAAAAAATAAAAAACTAAATTAAAAAGTTCATAGGATTTCAAAGCACACTTAATTTGTACTGCTGTCACTTAATCTGGAAGGAGAAAAGACACATTTCATGCAACTCTTGGCACAAAACCCAAAACCATCAGAAGTCAAAGCCTATGGGTATATATAGCAAGTGTGTGAGCAATGTTGAAAAGCTTTCCTTCTTTGAGCCTCAGTTTCCCCATCTGCAAAATGACTCCTAAGGATATAGACCTTATAGACATAAGCTCTTTCACACTCATGATTCAGGTCAGTTTTGACGCTGGAGGTTGTAGTTCCTCTGCAGTCATAAAATCTTGTGTAAAAGCTGGTAGTTTATTTTTTCTTATGTTAAGGGAAGAGAGTGATATGAAGCTTGGGCTTTAGGGCAAAACAAAGAACCCCACCTAAATCAGGCGGTTAGTTACAGCTAACACAAGTAGGATGAATGTAGTCCCAGAGAGCCAGGGACAGCCGTGCCTGTCCCTGAGTCTTTGTAAGATCACCTAGTGGGACTGGATGAACCAATGTCCGAGGGTGTGGCAATAGACAGTTCACACTTCCCCAAAGAGAGCAGCGGGGACTGCTAACTACTACCCTTGGAAAGCCTAGTGTAGAACAAGAAAACTGCTTCAAAGGGGGGGGGGGGGCCCTCTGGGTTACTAGAGCCAGGGTAAGAAAATGTTTTAAAATCATTTTTTCTGACTGTGGTGCCCTTCTGATACCCATATTATAGGGGGAAGACTTGCTGCCCTTTGCTGTAGAGATGACTACATGTCCCTTGGGCAAGAATCCTTCCTTGTCACTTCCAACCTGGCTTACAGGCTTCCTGTGTATATTCCCACAGCACCTGTGCATACCTCCCTGGAGTTCTGAGCTGCTGCCTGACCAGTCTTATGTGCACAGTCAGTGCTTGCTAAGTCAACCAGTCTCCGTGACTCTGTGCATCAAGTTCCAACCCTTTGGAAAGGAGTGAGTTCTTATCCTTTTCAATGGCTGAGAAGTCCCATAGAAGTATCAGAGCCACAGTTAAAAACTCATTATAATGATGACAATAATAGTAACAAGAATACCATTTCCCACTAATTTAGTACTTTGTGGTTTATGATGTTCTTTAACGTACAGTTTTGTATTTTAGCCACACAGCTCTATTTGGGGAGGTCGATAAGAATTTGAGCCCTTTTTACAGGTGGGAAAATTGAGAGTGAGAGGTAAAGTGACTTACGCAATGCCACCAGGATTAAACGAAAGCGTAAGATCTAAAATCCACGTCCTGTGAACACAGGTGCCAGGGGGCTTTCCCAGACTGAATAACTGCTGCATATGTGAAAATCCATCTCACTCAGGCTTTTCAGCATCTGCCGTGCACTGACAGGGTGTGGGGGTGCTGAACACAAACCTCACACCGGTAGCAATGAACGTGGAAATCGCGATCCAGAGCCACAATCCGGACAGTCTCCTCCTGGCCTGGGGCTGGCATGATAGGCTCCTTGCACACAGAACATCGGGGGGCAAATTTCCTGAAAACAGAGACAACAGTTCTGGTTAGACATGGAGTCTAGACACTGCCAAACAGGTAAGACCCTGAAGTGAAAAGAAAAGGGGGTCAAGAGTCAGGACATCTGCTCTGTCATCCTGAGCAAATCACTTTCCTCTTCTGGGTCTGCTCCCTCAGCTGTAAAATAAGGGATTTAGACTCAGTGACTCTTGAGGTCCTTCTAGGTCATAAAGTGAGATTTTGTGAGGTTGCAGAGTGAGTGCATTTAATCCTTATGGATAAAGAATATCTGGGAGCTGTTGGTCACTGGGTATGTAGCAAAGAATTAACTTGTGGATAGACTGCAAACACAAATCCTGGGCTAAGGCAGGGTCCTGATGGCCCTTACTCTGTTTCTTTTACTTGACCTTGTCTTGCTTGACTTTTGCTTCTAGACTTTTGTATGTGCTCCCCAGGACCCACACAAATATTCTGAGGTTGCTAACTGTGCATTCCCACTTATTAGTGCCTCTTTCCTTAACACTAAGTTCTAGGAATTAATACAAGATGCCTCGACCACCTATCTTTTTAAAGCAGCAGAAGTTAGCAACTTTAAATACACCAAATTTACAATGACCAAGTCTGTACCTCCTACATTTCGATTGTGTTAAACTCTTGTTGGAAAAGGCAAACCATGAGAGACTCTTGAATGCTGAGAACAAACTGAGGGCTGATGGGGGTGGCGGGGAGGGGAAGGGAGGTGATGGGCATGGAGGAGGGCACTTGTTGGGATGAGCACTGGGTGTTATATGTAAACCAACTTGACAATAAACTATTTAAGGAACAAAAAAAAAAAAAAAGAAAAAAGAAAAGGAAAAAGTTCAAAAGCCATCAAGTTCTTTGTTCTTTAGAGGGTTTTAGCACTTCCAAAAGGTATGAACACTTATGTGTATAGACACATATATGTCTGTTTTTGAGGTTAACTGTTGGGGAGGAATTTTAGTATTTCCTAATCTCTCAATATTCCCAAATATGACCGATGGCCCTAAAATCGTTTTCTCATAGCAGATTAAGAGGCTGCAAATATAGGCTGTGTGTTCATCTGCATCTCCTGGAAATTAGGGGTAGCATTGGGGAAGGTGTGAAATGAGACATGATTTGAAATGGCTGTGGATAAAAACTGAAGAGGTTAAAAAAAGAATAAAAGGACAAACAGACTGTGCAACTCAGTTTTTTCATGGTAATGGTTTTAAGATTAATGACGTTAAAATTTATCTATTTGTAGTGAGACCTAAAAAGAAATAATGATAGTAATCTAATACGTTGCAGAGCACTCTGTGGTTGTCAAAGCATTTTTACATACATTATGCTCTATATGTACATATTAATTTTCTTGGCAGCAGCCAAAAGGCATCTGTATGGCTGCAATCTAAATAAATATGAATTAAGCAGCAGATCAATTGATTGCTCTGAAAGAAAAATTAAAAGGATGAGGGTACAACTGCAGCAGTAATCAGAGTTGTTATAATTGGCATTTTATGCAAGAAGTTTACACTCAGTGGTAAAAAAAAAAAAAAAAAAAAAAAAAAAGAAAGAAAGAAAGAAAGAAAGAAAACTGCTCTGGACTACCTGATTATTTTTGAATCTGGGTCACCAGTAGTGAAATAAGCAGGCTCCTGGAATCCACTGCAGTATTTCCTTCCCCCAAGCCCATTGGGACTGTAAGCTACATGAGGTCAGAAGTCTATCTTTCCTGTCATTGAACTGTGAGCCTGCCCCTACTTCCTCAAGTAGAATGACTTCTCTGGGATAAAATATCCTTCCGTGAATTTGCCTATTTTAGTAGTAATTATTTGCACCCCTTTGGGGACCACTCCACTGTGAGCTTCCAGCTGGCAAGTTCTGCTCGGTCTCTGAATCTCCCGAAACAACTTCTGTGACCGGGGCAGGCAGCAGAAGTTTAGGCTGCCGCTCAGGAAATGGAGTGTCTGCCATCTTGCTCTATAAAAAGATGTGACTTGGACCCGTATGTTCAATCTTGAAGTCCTTGTCTTTGGAAAGGCATACGTTGTATTCTTGCTGAGTAAGGATTCCTTCCTACCAATCCAATTGGCCTCATTTCCATGATGGGAAAAAACAAGGGAAGAGACAGGAAGTGGTTTCCACAGTCCCCACAGTGTTCCTTGGCTTGCATTTTAAAGACTGTTCTAAATCCCAGGTGGTCTGTTTTAAGGCTCAGCTCACTAAGCAGATAATAATAATAATAATAAAAATAAATTTGATAAAAACACTTTTGATGGCTCAAATAGCTACCATATATTGTGTGCTTATTAAGTGCCAAGGCTTGTTAAGGACTCTGCGCGCTTGACCTCGTTTTTTACTGACAACAACATTACGAAGAAATAGTTTCTATCATTTCTGCTTCACAGCCACGGGGGCCAAGGCTCAGGGAAGGGCGGTCTTAATCATCTCGTGTCCTGGCACATCTCTGGCAATCAACAAATGGATGCTGATTAAACAAATAAATGGATGAATGTAATGTCTCTGATAAGAAGGCACGGATAGTGAAATAAAGGCTCAACGCAATGAAAGGGTCAGTTAAATAAACCTACTTTTCTGGAGCTCACTGTCCTGGCACTGGGAATACAGAAATAAACTAGGATTCCTGCAGCCAGACTGGTGAGGGAGCACTATCTATTTCTGCATTTGTTCTATTAAGTGAGATATACATATCCTGCCATCTTGTAAAAATGATCTAAGGTGGTAAGTGTAAAACTGTGTGTTGTGTGTGTGTATTCTTTATTACTAATCAGGTTGTGGGTAAGTACTAGCTCTAGCTGATTTACAAAGCTCTACAGAACATTCAAACAGGGATAGGGAGGGATTGCGGTCAAGGAAGTCTTCTCAGAGGAGGTGGTGATTGAGTTGGACACCTTGAATGATGGCCGTTTAGGTGAAATGGGAAAGTGTGTGTGTGTGTGTGTGTGTGTGTGTGTGTGTTGAGGGCGAGGGTGGATACAGTCAGTTTGCCAGGGAACTGGTTTGAACAGTCACTGAAATAACATATAGGAGGACTTGTTCCCATTAAGACAGAAGACTTGGGCCAGCATTGAGTGGGGGTGGTTATGCAGGCAATGGCCCCTTGACAAGGCCTTAAACACAGTATTTGGGAAGCTTACTCAAAGTGCAGTCCAAATCCACCGGGGAGCTTGTCTGAAATGCAGAATTGGAGGTCCCACCCCAGACCTACTGAATTAGAATCTGCAGTTTAACAAGATCCCTAGGTGACTTGTAAGCACATTAACATTTGGGAGGCACTGGTTTAGAAGACAGGATGCCAAGCAGCGAGATCAATCCCTTCTCATGCGCCTTCCGCATCTCACAGTAACTTCCACTCTCGGGCTGCTCTAGTGACAGCCAAGCAAGTCTTCCTTGAACATAGAGAAGCCCTTCCCCACTTCGTCCGCTTCTTTATTTCCTGAGTGGTTCCTGCTGTCAGGAATCCCCGTTTCTCGCTTAAAATACTTTTCAAATTCTGTTTCCAGAAGCCTACCCAGATCCCGGGGCCAAGTAATCTCCTCGGACTCTGCCAGCTCAAGACTTTTTGCCTGTGCTTGTCTCATCGTGTCTGGCCCCTTCTGCCTGATATCACACGTACTCCGCGCGTATTCTCTCCCTCCTCCAGGCAAGCTCCTTGCTGACAGGGGTTTTTCTCTGTGTGTCTGTGCATTTTGTACTCAGGCAGTTTCTCTCCTTGTATCTCTCTCCTTTAGCACTGAGCACCCAGAGGGCTCTCTGCAGATGTGGCTGGACTGAATTGAAAGAGATTTCCTGAAAGCTCACAAAGGGAGGCCAAGACCAAGGCACCCCAAAACAGTCTGCAGAAGAAGGCTGTTTCCCCCTCTGTACCCTCTCCTTAGCCTTGCAATGTCCACCCTGGGTGGGGCTTTGAGCTGCTTTGTGCTCTAGTACTTTCAAGCCTCAGAAACAGAGTTCTGTAAAATGTATCTCTTATTTTCCTTTGCAAAATTGTGAAAAGATCAAAAAGGTTTCCCTCCCTCCCTCCCTGCCAATCATGTAGATAACATTATTTACAAAAAAAATAATTTGTGTTTTAACATGCCATTGAATTAGTCATGGAGGGGGAGAGACGGGGGCTGGAGATGGTTTTTCCCTTTTAGCTGCTCAAGTCGGCTTGTCTGGAGTGTTCAGACCCACACACTTATGTCACCAGTCCCAAGTCTCTAATTATGCTCCTCACTCTTAGAAATGAAAGATAAATGGCATAGATATAAACTTCCATTTGTCAGAATTGATTTCCTGTTTTAATTGGGGGGTGTAATAGATCAGTCTTTTCCAGCAACGGAAACATGTGTGCTCTGATTACATCTGTCAGTCTTTCTTGGATTCGGGGAAGTCTAAGAAAGGAGGCACACAGTGTTAGAAACACACTCCGTTGGTATCTTTTCACTTCCCTTAAATAGACGCAGGGTTTTTTTTCCCATGTGTAATTACAAGCTAAAAATATCAATAACGTGAAGTACAATTTATGCTGTGACTGCCCTTTCAAAGTGAGCCCTTTCTTGTCTAATTCAGGTTGAGAATTCCTGCCTCTGGGGTTTTTTAATTCATTCAGCCTCATGTCTTTTGGTGAGGTTTTCACTTTCTTTGCTACTTGGAAAGTGGAAAGGAAATTCTTTTTTTAAAAAACAGGAGTCTCAAGGCCCCAGACTGCTTATGGCAGTCCTCCTGGTTGTTGACAGTCAACAGGGCGGTGACAAATAACCCACAAGACTGCACATCTGGAGGCCGTAGAATGGAGACCCAACCTAGTGAGCCACATGAGCTTTATCTCTGTGAGAGCTTCGGACTGTCTCACACTGCCCCACAAATAAGCCAGAAAGCCCCCGTGCTTTTGCAGATCACCACTATAGCTTTCATATGCTTCCTAAATATATGTGACAAATGTCATCAACCAATCAGCCAACTAACAAAGGGGCCAAAGAAGAAGAAAGCAAAACAGGAAACTGTACAATGTTCATGAAAACCCCAGCTATGACAGAGGAAAAAGGGCCCTCTGAATGACAGAACTGAAGGACATATTTTTCCAGGCCCATGAGTAGGTGACCTTGACCTTGAGACTCTACTTTCTAATCCTCCGCAAAAGACTGCACAGGACTGCATTCATTAATTTTATTAGAAAGCATCCTGCAGAAGAGAAGCCTGGGGTAGGGAAACAGGTTACGGGGAAGACGTGACAGCTAATGGCATGAAACTGACCCAAATATGTGAGAGGCCTATGCTAGGAAGAGAGACAGAATTGTTCTGTGTCCATGTCGGTCTCCCCGTGACCTCCTCTCTATAGATTGGCACAGATGGAGAGGTCAGCGCTAGAGAGAACTGTGGACTGTTACACCTGCGGAGCTTTAAGACAGGCTCTGTTCTAATGACCAGACTGAAAAGCTCAGAGAAAGGGAGCAGTTTGTCCACTGTCACACATCTTGTATGAACAAGGCCTATTTCCAATACACATACTCTGCAGCTGAGTCAACTTTCTCACAATCAGAGCCACACAAAGATATGATAGATGAGTCCCAGGCAAGCCTTTGAGCAGAAACCTGGGAGGGGGACCATATGGATTAATGGACACCCATTCCTGCATTTGAGGCACAGATAAATAACCTCAATTTTTAAGGTCCCACCAAATCCTGACATCCTACAGCTCTGAGAGAGAAGAATGTGTGGCCCAGACACCAGGCAGTAAGAACAGTAAGGGGACTGGCAGGCTCGAGGGGACAGAGTATGCCTACTTGTGGAAGTCCTCAATGCAGTGAATGAGGCCACCAGCGTCCACAGTGAATGGGATCCCATCAAGGCTGCGGTGGCACATCACACAGGTAAAGCAGTGAGGATGATAGGCCTTTCCGGTGGCTCGCAGGATCCGCTCCATGATGGGCTTGGAGCACACGCTGCACTGCTCCAGGGTTTTCTGGGGACAGAAAGACAAAGACCAATGTTAAGTTGAGGAGCTCCATGTATTTAGTACCTCACGGCACCACAAGCAGTGTTTGTTACAGACACAACTGGCTCATGTGCCTATCATAGTACTTGGAAGAAGGCAGAGTGCACATATCTTGATTATAGAGACAAAGAAACACAGAAGATACATCAAATGTCTTCTCTAAATTCACCCAGGTAGTAGGTGGCAAATCTAGCATTTAGAACACACGTCTTCTGACTTCTATCCCTTTTCTACCACCATTGCAGGGTTGATGGCAAACATTTCTGTAAGGGCACATACAGTTAAATATTTCTGGGTTTGTTGCAGCAATTCAGTTCTGGTCTCATAGTATGAAGGCAGTTGTAAATGCGCAGGACTGTGTTCCAATAAAACTTTACTTACAAAAGTGGGCTGGATTTTGCTCAGAGCTATAGTTTTCTGACCCCTGAACTATGTAATCCAGGGTCTCCACTGGAAGAACACCTCACTATTCTAAAACTTGTTTAGCCATCAAAAATCTGGGAAGGTCACTCTTAAGGTCCTCCTTAAGAGTTTAGGATGGTCTGTCTGATGATGGAGACTCACAGAGTATGCCAATAGGACCCAATCAGGGCTCAGCATAATCAATAAGGCTTTTGGTTATTTAAAACCTTGATTCGAACACCACCTCCAAGTTTAGTGTTGTGAACCCTTGACAGAAAAGAAAGTCAATTTATCTGCTTACAAAATACGCTGAGCTTTAAAAAAACAAAACCCTCCCCAAAAGGCATCCCATCTGTTGATCGGGACTCTGAAAGACTGATAAAATTGGCTATTAACTTTCCATTGTTTCCTAGAATCCCATGCTGCCTTACTAAACAGCCTTGTTTTGCATGTTATATGCTATATGCCAAGTGAGATGTCTGGACCTATTCAGAGTTTACAATCTAGAATAAACCTGGGACAGAGATCTTCTTAGAAAGATGAAGAACTGGAAGGGATGTGGAAATTAAGGAGTAATTGCCCTCTTACCATAAGAACCTTTAAATAGCTCTTACACAAGAAATGCCTTTAGGAGGATAACTAGTGTGCTGATGTCTCTGATAACAGTCTCTGATTGGCTTTCTTATTTGCATCTCTCCTCCTCCAACACTTCCCTGTCCCCTAAGTGACTTCCCCTTCCCGTTCCAAAACACAGATGGGATCAATTAACTTTGCTTCCAGCAAAAATTTCTATGGCTCCACAATGTGAAAAGAACTAATTCCTTACCTGACATTCAACCTCCCTTTCTAGGATCAGATTCCCCTAATGTCTCAGATTGCTTGTGCTAGTTCAAACCTATGAGAAACTTCCATACTTTTGTGCATTGGCTAATGCCTAGAATGAACCAGTTTGTCATCTTGACCTTTCAAGGTACAGGTCAGAAGGCAACTCTCCAGTAAAGCCTTCCTTAATGCCTTCAGTTGGAATCAATTGTTTCTTTCTCTACCCTTCCTGTGCACTTAATTTATGTTGCTTAAAGCACTTACAGTGTTTACTGTAGTAAAATTATTTGCATATTTGTCTATTTCTTCTATTAGACTAATCTCTTTAAGGGAAGCCACCATGTCTTTTTAAAAAGTTTTAAAATCCCAGTGTAGTTAACATACAGTGTTATATTAGTTTCAAGTGTGCAATATAATGGTTCAATAATTCTATACATCACCCTGTGCTCATCGTGATAAATATACTCTTAATCCCCATCACCTATTTCATCTATCCCCCAACTCACCGCCTCTCGGGTAACCATCAGTTTGTTTTCTGTAGTTAAGAGTCTGTTTCTTGGTTTGTCTCTCTTTTTTCCCTTTGTTCATTTGTTTTGTTTCTTAAATTACACAGTGAGATCAGATGGTATGCCTTTCTATGACTGGTTTATTTTGCTTAGCATTATACTCTCTACCTCTATCCACGCTGTTACAAATAGCAAGATTTCACTCTTATTCTATGGCTGAATACGTGTGTGTGTGTGTGTGCGCATGCGTGTGTGTGTGTGTGTATCCCTCATCCATTCATCTATTGATGGAAAACTTGGGCTGCTTTCATAATTTGGTATCATAAATAATGTCACAATAAACATATGGATACATGTATCCTTTCAAATTACTGGTTTTATATTTTTTGAACAAAAGCTCAGTAGTGTGATTATTGAATCTTAGGGTAGCTCTGTTTTTAGCTTTTTGAAGAACTTCCCTAGTGTCTTCCACAATGGCTGCACCAGTTTATGTTTCCACCAATAATACACAAGGGTTCCTTTTTCTCCATATTCTTGCCAACATTTGTTGTTTCTTGTGTTTTCAATTTTAGCCATTCTGACAGGTGTGAGGTGATATCGCATTATAATTTTGATTTTCATTTCCCTAATGATAAGTGATGTTAAGCATCTTTCCATGTATCTGTTGGCATCTGTATGTCTTCTTTGGAAAGAAGTCTGTTCATGATTTTTGCCCATTTTTAAATTAGATGATGATGATGATGGTGATGATGATGAGAGTGTGTGTGTGTGTATGTGTATGTGTGTGTGTGTGTGCGTACGTGCTGAATTGTATAAGTTCTTTACATATTTTGGATACTAACCCTTTACTGAATAGGCTATTTACTAACATATTCTCTCAGTAGTTTGTCTTTTAGTTTTGTTGATTGTTTCCTTCCATGTGCAGAAATCTTTTATTTTGATGCAGTCCCAATAGTTTATTTTTGCTTTTATTCCCCTTGCCTCAAGAGACACATCTACAAAAATGTTGCTATAGCTCATGTCAGAGAAATTACTGCCTGTGCTCTCTTCTAGAGCTTCTATGGTTTCAGATCTCACATCTAGGTCTTTAATCCATCTTAAGTTTATTTTTGTGTATGGTGTAAGAAAGTGGTCCAGTTTTATTCTTTTACATGTAGCTGTTCAGTTGTCCAGATATCATTTGTTTGAAGAGACTTTCTTCCATTGCATATTCTTGCCTCTTTTATAGAAGATTAATTGACCATGTAATTATAGGTTTATTTCTATGCGTTTTGTCCTATTCTGTTGATCTGTGTGTTTATTTTTGTGCCAGTATCATACTGTTTTGGTACTACAGCTTTGTAGTATAACTAGAAATCTGGAATTGTGATACATTCAGCTTTGTTTTTCTTTTTCATGATTGTTTTGGCTATATGGGCTCCATATAAATTTTAGAATTATTTTGTTCTAGTTTAGTGAAAAATGCTGTTTGTATTTTGACAGGAATTGCATTAAATCTGTTGACTGCTTTGGGTAGTATCAACATTTTAACAATATTTGTTCTTTCAATCTATGAGCATGGAATATCTTTCCATTTGTTTGTGTCATCTCCAATTTCTTTTGTCAAAGTTGTACAGTTTTAAGAGTATAGGTTTTTGCCTCTTTGGTTAAGTTCATTCTGAGGTGTTTTATTATTTTGGTGTAATTGTAAATGGGATTGTTTTCTTAATTTCTCTTTCTATGGCTCCATTATCAGTGGGTAGAGATGCAATGGGTTTCTGCACATTGATTTTGTATTCTGTGACCTTCCTAAATTCATTTAACAGTTTTAGTAGTTTTTTTGGTGGTGTCTTTAGGATTTCCTAAATATAGTATCAATCATCTGCAAATAGTCAAAGTCTACTTCTTTCTTACCAATTTGGATGCCTTTTATTTCTTTTTCTTATCTGATTGCTGTGGCAAGGACTTCTAGTACTGTAATGAATAAAAGTAGTAGGGCCCCTGGGTGGCTCAGTCAATTAAGGGTCTGACTTCAGTTCAGGTTATGATCTCACGGTTTATGAGTTTGAGCCCCATGTCAGGCTCTGTGCTGACAGTGCAGAGCATGGAGCCTGCTTGGAGTTCTGTGTCTCCCTCTCTCTGCCCCTCCCCTGCTTATGATCTGTCTCTCTCCCTCTCAAAAACATTAAAAATGTTTTAATAAACATTACAAATTAAATTTAAAAGTGGTGAGAGTGGACACCCTTGTCTTATTCCTGATCTTAGGGAAAAGCTCTCAGTTTTTCACCATTGAGTATGATATTAGCTGTGGATTTTGCATTTATGGCCTTTATTATGTTGAGATATGTTCCTTCTGAACCTACTTTATTGATGGTTTTTTATCATGAATGGATCTTGTACTTTGTCAAAAGCTTTTACTGCATCCATTGAAATGATCATATGATGTTTATCCTTTCTCTTGTTAATGTGATGTATCATATCGATTGATTTGCAGATATTGAACCATCTTTGCAACCCAGGAATAAATCTCACTTGGTGAATGATTTTTTAAAAAGTATTGTTGGATTCAGTTTACTAATTTTTTTTGAGGATTTTTGTATCTATGTTCATCAGAGATATTGGCCTATAGTTTTGTGTGTGTGTGTGTGTGTGTGTGTGTGTGTGTGTGTAAGTGTCTTTATCTGATTTTGGTATCAGGGCAACACAGGCCTTGGGAAAGATGTCTTAAGAATATATTTTGCTGTCCTATGCTCTACTTAGTACACTACCTGGAATAAAATGAAACCCAGGTTGAAGGTGTGCAAAAAAACCCCAAAACCAAACAAAACAAAAAACGAAGGAAGGAATAGTGTTTACGTCCTACCCAGGCATCTCTGGGCTGGTCTGACTCTCCTGTCTCTGGAATCCATCCCAAGATGAATTGGTAAATCCATCACCATCCTCTCCTCAAAGCTGCGGTTGCTGAAAGTTCTCAAATTGCTCAGTATGCCTCTGGTCACAGTCTAAACTCATGGAAACTATTAACCTATTTTCCCCCCATTTTGAAGTGGTGAAATTAAAATAGCAGAAGAACGTAAGATGAAAGTCTGGAGCAAATGATGCTCTGGACAATGAGGGCCCTGCCTTTTTTCGGCTCTGGTGATCTGAGCTGATGTGGCTATAAACTGTCTTCCCAGGGCTTGTGTTTTGCTCTTCTGCGGGTTCTCACTTTTTTTTAAGGCAGTCCTGTAATCCTGTAAGGGAGTTGAACAAAACAGA